GATAACTATTGACGAATTCATTAATTTTAATAAAAATGCAAAAAGACTCTATTTTGCATGGTATTTTGAGTAATGTACCTACGTATCTACCAAAATCTGGTTAAGGAAAAATATATAACTATATTTAATCAAACATAATAATCAATATTTAAATGACGAATAGAAAATATAATTAAAATTAATCATCTTCTTTATCAATTTCTCCTTCGTCATCGCTATCACTATCATCATAATATCACTATCATCATAATATTCATATCATCAAATACTGGTCGAACTGACAGTTCGTGAGTGTAAGTGACAGCTAGACGTGTATTTTCTGTAAAACTATAGTATAATCTATCGAATGACAAATTTTCAAATTTGGGAAAATAAGGGCAAACATTTTCTATTTTCCCGATTTTGAACATGCCGCCAGACTCATTTGCCAATTCCGTGAATCAGCCAGACTTAATTTTAATTACAGTTAATGATAGTATCAATTTATATGCTAAGTTTCAAGCTTGGAAAAATAAGGGTAACCGATCCGCAAAATCGGTAAAAGGACCTCGCACACCTTATATAGGATTCCAGCGATCGGTCGGTTTTTCCCAAATTTTGATATGTTGTAGAGCAGTGGTTCCCAACCTTTTTTTTAAACACGACCCTTTTACAGATTTGCTCATAAGGTCGCGACCCCCTACACCTTAATAAATAAAAAACAAAAAATCTTTATTAAAATATTGATATTTCGTAACTAAATATAAAAAGTCAATTTTTATTTTGTTAATGTGATGACTGAGCTTGCATCTTCGTTCTGAAATTCTTGGTTGAGTTTTGTTGAAGCTAATCTTATGTCGTCTTGAACGCCCAGTCTACCTATTTCTGGCGTTAATTTCAATTTGCAAAAGAGTTGAAAAACCACTTTCACGAAAGTAGATAGAGGCAAATGATATTAGTATCCGAAAAGAAAGCATAAGCAGGGCGACATGAGGGTATGAACTGGGATATGAACTATGCATGGCACATCAAAATTCAGTCAAGAATATGTTCTGAAATAGGGCAGGTGCTGTGGAATCATTCTTCAGTTCTAAAAATGTATCCTGTACTTCATCCAGGAACGTCGGCAACATCTAACGAGGCTTGGAACGGGTTCCTTACTACTGCAGCTTTCTGTTCAGATAACTCAGGAATGACGCCCATTTCATTTTCAAGGGATTGAAACCATTGAAGGTGATAATCAATTTTCTCTTTTAGATTCACCACAATTTCTGTTTCTGATACTTCAGCCATTATGCATAGTTACCTATGTTCAAAAACATGCGACTCACAACAGAACACTCACAATCTGTGCTATGCCCTTCGTCCGTAAGACCAATGCAACGCTGCGCGGCTTTTGAGGCGGAGGCTTAAGCTCAATTCTCACTTGCGCGAAATTCGCCCTTTTTTGACATTGCTTCGACAATTTGACGTTTGATACACGCATAAAACGAAAACGTCAAATTGTCAAAGCAAAAGAGCGAATTTCGCGCAAGTGAGAATGAGGTATAAGGCGTGTTACCAAATGCAGAAAAATAGATATTGGCATGGCGACCCCTCCAAAAACTCTATGCGATCCCCTTAGGGGTCGCGACCCACCGGTTGGGAACCGCTGTTGTAGAGGATTTAATTCTTAACAACCTTTAAATGGGACGAAATCTTTTAGGTATTACGGTCGTTGAGATATGAGCGTTGAAAGATGAACTTATTGCGACTTTTTGTGTGGAGAGTATACGAAATACTAGTGTTTATCAGTCAAAATATTGACAGGTTCACATATTTTACATCAGTTACAAATTAATGTCAACATAGGCTAAGGCCGGGACCGCACTGGGGTCAATGGTGGAGCCAGTGTTACCCCGCCCTTAGCCCATGTTGACAAATGTTTAGTGACGTAAAATATGTGAATCTGTCAATATTTTGACTGATAAACACTAGTATTTCGTATACTCTCCACACAAAAAGTCGCAAAAAAGTTAATCTTTCAACGCTCATATCTCAAAGACCGTAACACCTACAAGATTTCGTTCCATTTAAAGGTTGTTAAGAAATAAATCCTCTACAACATATCAAATTTTGAAAAAAATCGACCGATCGCCAAAATCCTATATAAGGTGTGCGGGGTCCTTTTTGAATCCGAAAATTTTCAGCCAGACTCACATTCCGTGACTTAAGATAAGCCAGACTGCTATTCTCATATACTTTATGTTCTAGTTTAGTAAATGTGGAATATTTATGACTAGGAAAATAAGTGCACTTGTATTTTCAATTCATCTTGTAAACCCATCCAAAAATTTCAGCCAGACTAGAAAATTATTGTGTCGTGTGACTAAGAAAACAAACTATTTAATATGCACCAACTGGGAAAATAAGTGCTAAAAAATTTCACTGCCTCCTGGACTATTACAATTCAGGGAGGCAAGTTGATTTTGTTTCCGTTAATCTCTATAGGGTGTGCACTTAGTGCGATATCGGACGATATCTCCTTACAGAGTGATGCAAGAAAAAAAAATTAAATTACATAGTTGTTTGATACTCTAATATGCATTAGCTAAAAATATTTTTGAATATACAGGGTGCTTCATTTATGGGATATGCGACAAAACTTTGTTATTTCAAATAGAACACCCTGTATGCTGTATGTGATTGCATATTTGGATTCCACGTAAAATTCTGAGCAGATTTCATGTGATATACCCTATACCTAAGTTCAACTGTTTTGAAAATATTGACAGTTGAAAACCGACTTTTTGCAACTTTGACAAGGTGTAAAACCTAAACGGTTAATTTTAGACGAAAACCGATTTTACATTCCAGTCTTAGATTTTCATGAACTATCATTTGTCACCATTTTTGAATTTAACCGGAGATTAAATTTAACTGGAATTTCTAATCATGGATTAAATTCAAAATTGGTGTCAACTGATAGTTTATAAAAATCTAAGATAGGAATGTGGAAAAGGTTTTCGTCTAAAATTAACCGTTCAGGTTTTACAGCCTGTCAAATTTGCAAAAAGTCAATTTTCAACTGTCAATATTTCCAAAACAGTTGAACTTAGGTATAGGGTATATCATATGAAATCTGCTCAGAATTTCATGCAGAATCCAAATGTGCAAACACATACAGGGTGTTCCATTTAAAATAACCAAGTTCTGTCGCATACCCCATAAACGGAGCACTCTGTATATTCAAAAATATTTTTAACTAATGCATATTAGAGAATCAAATAACTTTGTAATTTAATTTTTTTTTCTTGCATCACCCTGTAAGGAGATATCGTCGGATATCGCACTAAGTAGACACCCTGTATATAAAAATCAGGTCTATAAACCTAGCAGTCCCAAGGTGGAAAAAAACTTCGGGAACTATATAATAATTAGGTGCTTTTTAGGTGCTAATTAGGGCCTCTAATTAAAAATTAGGTGCTGCTTTAGTTTCTGAAAAAATCAAAAAAAAACTAAGGGACTGCTAGGTAGTTTTTTTTGATTTTCTCAAAAATCAGAGGAGCACCTAATTTTTAATTAGAGGCCCTAATTAGCACCTAAAAAGCACCTAATTATTATATAGATCCCGAAGTTTTTTTTCCATTCTGACACACCAACATGTAAACGTAAAGCCAGCAGTCCCCTAATAATTAAAAAAAAAATCTGTAACTCAGTTAATAATTAATCAATTCTATTTTTTCTTGGACTATTTAGGAGCACCTAAAAAGCACCTAATTCTAATACAAAGAAAAAATTTGAAAAAATATTTTTTACTATAGGGGACTGCTAGCTTTTATAAACCTAGCAGTCTCTTAGTTTTTTTTTTGATTTTCAAAGAAGAAGGTATATTTGCAAAAGATCAATCAAGGATCCAAAGGTTTTAAAATCTAACATAGGAGGTGGGAATCCTAACAAACTTTTCATTTTGAGAGTCCCTTTAGAGAAGAATCAGAAAATTTGCAAAGGAATGACTCAGGATTCGAGATCAAAATTGTCTAAAATGTTACACACACCTAAAACTTTTTTTTAGAAAACTTTGGGGTGATTCTGGAAAAATGTTGGATTTATAGCAGAGTGGGCAAGAATTTGTCGATGTAAACAAAACAAAAAGGCTACTGTTCAATAGTATAGCTGCTATAGCTGCTCCACACTACTTGGAATTTTGTTTGAAACTTTTGTACAACTTACCCAACTTTAAAGCTAACAAATCTCAAATATTTCATAATACAGTACTACGTGCTATTTTGCAATGCAATAGATACACTACTCACATTGATTCTATTGTGAATGTAGTTGGAATATTGTCATTAAAGCAAAACAATTTGTTTCATGTGTCTTTATAGTTAAGATTAAGAATAATCTAATGGCTTCATCATACGTCTCTGATAAAGTAGGATTGTCAAAATTTTGAGGTTTTAAACTGTTGTGATTGCGGTCTAAATTTCGATTTGGTTATAAGTTTTATTTATTTTTTTACTGTAGTTTTTAGGCTTTTGTTTATGTTTTGGTCATTTATTGATTTTTGTTGGTATGTAGCATTCTCATTTATACATATTTATTTTAAGTTCTACTTTCTGTTCTAGTTTTAAGGCGTTTGGTCATTCAACTGAACTGTTTGTTGTATGTAGCATTTTAGGCTAAATAAATTATTATGGTATTAATATTATTATTAATCGCAGTTGAGAATTTTTAATTAAATTTATTAATGAGCGTTTAATCATCTTTCGCACACTAAATTACATTCATCAAGTTAAAGAAAAACTAATAGAAAAATGAGCTTTGACACCATAACTATAGACACTATGTAGTGTTTAGTTGATACATAGGTATAAATAATAATTAACCATGAAAATTATCATATTTTAATTGATTTTAAAAATAAAAAACCGATTCTGAAGGTGAAGTAATTTTTCTCGCATTGTGTAAACTGCAGCAATTGTTGTTTTCATCCATCAAGGCAAAACTAAAATGAGTGTCTTCCCATTTCGCAAAATTACCACAATAGAACATCACCGAGTCAGTTACCATTTACATAATTGTAACAACACACATTTGCCATCATAAGCACAAGAAAAACACAATTTTAATCAATTAAAAACACCTATTCTTGTCTTTAAAGTGTACGCACTAATTAACTATTAGTACCTGGCACACGAAATAAATATTAATAAGAAATAAATAAAAACGAGTCTCTCAGGTATTTATGTGTACAATTAAGTCCGGCGCGATCTCACGATTGATGATAGAAAACGCGGGTAAAGATAGACGCTCCAGCGCCGAGAGTCGGCGTATTTCAAATTTGGCGGTTTTTTAATGTACGCGAAAGGCACGCGAGTCATTCGACGCCGGACGCCAGAGAAAAATGAGGGAAAATTTGGCGTCCGTCGTCGTATTCGCGTTGCCGCCTTGTTGCCGGATTGGTGGGAATTGTTTCTTATCAGTCAGCTGTGGAATTTTCTCTTGATAATATCAAAGAGAGGTAAATGACAATGTCGGTTGGAGTTGACTATTAGTAGGGTGTTATCTGAGCAATGAATTTTGTAGGGGGCAAACTGTCACAAGCTAAATTGTTAATGTAATGAACACTAAGATTTTGGAGATTCTAGAACCGAAAGTAATCCAAAATTAGACCATACAAAAAAGTCACTATTATTGAAAAGAGATATTGGTATGATAAATTGCAACTGGTGGCTGACTAATGGCAGCGCATTTCTTATGAAAATATTCAGTCACCAGTTGTGATTTACCTTCACCTTGTTTCAACTGACTTTGGAAAGACTATACCATTGTATGGAACTTAACAAGTACCAAAAAATGACCTCATGGACAACATAGGTACAAATTTTTAAAAGTTTACCAATGAAAACTAATATACTTGCCTTATGCAAATGTGAAAAAGATAATGTTCTATAAGCATCAGTTAATCTTAATGCAAGATTTATCATGTTTTTAGGATGCAGAAATAAAGTATGTTTTTCCAAAAAAAAATATATTGACTGTAGATATTGATTCGTGTAGTTGTATGTCTCAAAGAGTTTGTAAAAACAATCACACTCTAACAACAGTTTTGCCACAGCCAGTTTTTGAAGATGACATCAGCTAAGACGAGGAGAGAATTCAATAAGGATATTGAATATTTCACAAGATTGCAAAAACATTGCATAGTTTTTCTAAGAAAACAAACTATGAATATCGATTCTTTGATGAAGTCTCATTAGTTAGTTGGTCAGTCTAATCTCAATTGCAATTTACTCGTGGCCCATTTATTTTTCCTGATAGTAAATAATACTGATAATGAATTTATTCGAAATATTTATTGTAATGGTCATTATATTATACAGGGTGTGACATTGTGAGACCACGTTATAGATCTCATAATTTTAAACAAAAAGGTTCATATTATAAGACTTTGATATTATTAGATCTCGATCGGTACCTAGCGAGGAGATTCAAGATTTACGGAAATTATTCATTTTCTCCGCCATCACGCCATTGGTTGATATGATTTTTTTTCTGGCTTCGTTAATTAGCAATCTAACTTTAACATCTCTTGCATTTTGCCTTCTGACCAATGTTATCTTAAATTAAAGAAACATTTAACCACTTGTAACGCCGCTAATGCCAGTCCCACTCCCAAGCCTGGGGTCTAATTGCACTACGGGAAAGGCGGAGGGATCGAAGAGTTACACCTGAGAGAAATGGGAGATAACCTGAATGGAAAATCCTGACCCTCCAAGTTGGGGTGTTAAATCTCCACAACACCTACCGAGTGATTTCGAATACTTGAAGAAACTGGATGTGCGCGCAGACGCACCTTCACAATGACAAATATAAGCAGAATAAACTTGAACTTTGATTTTATAACTCTGACAACTCGAAAAATTACCATGTTAATATTGATAACAACGTCAGATCAAAAAATAAAACAAAGGTGAAAGGTTTCCTCCTAAGGTTGTGAGGTGTTTTCTTGCAGTAGGTTCGGTGACTTTCAATTATCCTACCTTCAGGAATGCAGAATTTCCAGGTTAGTGATACAACATGTGAATTTCTCTGTGGGTTTACTGATTCAATCACTTCTTGTTGCAGTAGTTTTCTTCTTTTCATCGTCACAATTGTTTGATATTAAAGGAACTAGTGTCGCCATCCTTCATAAAACACATCCTGATAAAATCAGGATCTAATCAGAATCTGAATCTTCTTCCCGATTACTAATTTTGGCTTGTACATGAAAAGCGTCATAGACAGATCCGCTGTACGCGCCTCAAGACTTTCCTTGAAGCTATTTTGATTTCTACAACACGTACAGTTGCGATCAAAAAAAAGTAGTACAAGAAAAATCTCCAATATCTCCTGGTCTATTATATATCACCAAGGTATGTTTCCAATTTAAGTTTTAGAAATTTCGAGGTTCCATTTGTTAATTTTTGTGATATTAGTTATTATGTTTCAACAAAAACAGTTTGTATACCAACATCGTTTAGTAGAATTAATAAAAAGTATTTATTTTTTTAATAAAAAACATGACTACTCACACGATAGAAGTGTCTCGTATATAAAAAGAGACAGTGCATATGGTTAAAAGTAATGAGATGAACCAGAAAACATGGATGCGCGCGCCGCTGGGGGCATTAGTGACATTTTAACTGTATGCGTACTGTTGAATTTCTACCTATTTGCCCCCAACTACCCGCGCACTTCAGGTAATACGAGACACGTCGGGGTCCTTATTCTTGAAACTGGGAACCAGCGTTCCCAGGAGAACGAGTGTTCCGTCTTTGTTACTTATATCAGCCTTTGCATGTCAATGAGAAAGACGGAATACTCGTTCTCCTGGGAACGCTGCTCCTCTGTTCCAAGAATAAAGACCCTGTTGACTCAATACCACTACAAAAATTTTTGCTTTCTTTTTAATCGCCAACTTTAAGGTGCGATTTCATATTTTGGCGCCCCCTAGCTAGGGCCAGTGTCTCAATAGCGAGTTACCTCCGGGTTGGTTTTAACTCCAGGGTAAACATGTTCGGTTGTAATGTTTATCCTGGAGTTATGCTTAACCCGGGGGTGACTGGACCTAACTAGGGGGCGCCAAAATATGAAATCGCACGCGGGCGGCTTCAGGTCTGGCGGTGGCCCTGCTATCTATCGGTATAATTGAATTGGGATCGTGTTTACATTCCTTCCTTTATGTCTTTCACAAATAATGCATTTATCTAATACTGATTGGATAGTCTGCTTAAAACGAAGAATCCAAAATCGATCTCGTAAAATGGAGATCAGTCCTTGTAGACCATGACAATTCTTCAAATGTTCGGATCTGTTGAGCCGGATGACCACCTCGTGTTTGGAAGGATGTTCCAATGGTAAACAGAAATTCTCGTCATCAGGACGATCCGCTATCTTGGTCCGGATCCTAATCAAACCATCATACTCATCTAAAACACCATCCAATTTGCCGAACAATCTTATTGAAACTTGAAAAATATGTGTAGTACCAGTACCAGGGGAAATTTTTTGTTTCCACCGAAAGCAACAAATTACTTTCTTTCTCTTCTCTTCATCCACCAAATCTTCATCACATTGATATTGTTTATCAAACCATTCGCTAACTGGTTTCTGAACCAACAAAGGACCCTCCCACCATCTTCCATCAGCAAGCTTCTTCCCAAAGAATTCTCTTGATAGAAGATGGATTTTCATCTGCACCGCCGCTGCTAGCAATTCTAGAATTGGCATACTGGGTTTCTTCAGTGGAGCGACTTAGCTTGAACCAGGGATACGAAAACCTTTCCATCGGTTTCTGATCCTATAAAAATAGCTGTAGCATATGCTTCTTTGCTGGCGTCATAGAAAACAAGCAGACTGCCACCCTCAGCGTTTTCGGTACCTATTGAAAAATCATCTAGGAATCTTCATCTGTACTAGGTATGGGAGTTCAAATGTCATTGGAGTTCACGCATCCCCCTGAGAAAATTAAGCCCAACTTCATCTTCTAGTTCAGTATCCCAGTCTAACTTTAACTCCCAAACTTTCTGAAGCAATAACTTGGGATATAATGCAACTGGACTAGAAAAACCAATTGGATCGTACAATTTGTGATCAGTAGATGAAATTATTCTCTTATCATTTGAACACTGATATGCTTCATCCAATCCATAGAAACTTGAAGTGTGTCCAAGTTTTTGTTTCATAGAAGCCCCAGAACTGGGGAGCGACAGTCCAAAACGTCATTTCACCTCTTGGTAAGTACCTATACTCCCACCCTCTAAGGTCGAATTGGCCTTCCTTTAAAATGGTTGTAGCTACCTGGATGAACTGATCCAAATCGCCTTCATCCTTAACACTAGCTACTACGTTATCAACATAGAATGCCTTGATTAAATTTGAAATAATATCAATAGAATAATGGAACCGGAAAGAGATCTATGGAGAGCATTTCGGAAATGGTAATCTAGTACTGATCCGAGTAAAAAGGGACTGCATGGAATCCCATAAACTACTCTAGCATGTCGAAAAAATTTCATATCTTGATTGACAGCATCGCACCTGCAATAACACCGATTTTGTGTATTCGGAATCGTTGCAATATCGCCGGTATCAGTTCGGATAGTTTTACACAGTGTTGCCACCGGCTCTAAAAGTTTCGTTTCAGACTATATTTTTAAAAGGGGCCAGATTTCAGAATTTCGGGCAAACCGTTCTCAAATTAAAAAAAAGAGAGAAAGCTCGACGCAGGCGCCGCCGGAGGCAGAAATTTTTTTTAGGGTACCACGCCCAAAAACTTTTATTTTACATAAAAAAATAATGATTTGGCTTGTTATGGAACGGGCCAGATTCGAAAAAGAAGGGCCAACGGGCCACTCCTTCTTAGAAAGGGCCAGATCTGGCCATATGGGGCCACCTATGGCAACACTGGTTTTACACCCTTTTCTAAACACTGGTTGAGTGGTGGGTGTCCTTTTTTATCTGATGAAGAATAAACCGGGCCTAAGTCTTTTCCCAGATAAATGAAAATTTGGAGACAGAGTCAGATGATCTTCGATCCACGGCATGTTGACCTCGTATCTTTTATCGGATCTTTTACTATTGATAAAAAATATTCCATAACCATATTTTCTCTTTCTTTTGCTTCTTTGCACTTCTGATGAGAGTCCTGAATCGCAAGTATATCTAAGCTCCATAATTTAGTTATTTCCATGTCAAAAGGAAACATCGAAGAAATCAGCATTGGGAGATAATTTTCTGAAAATTTCGCAGTTTGTGTATCGAGCTGAGCTGATACCACAATCTAACTCGTACTTTTTTCCAGTCAGAAGTTTCGCCATTATAGCAGCTCCCACAAGAATGTCAACAGG